AGCATATGACGCGTTTCTTCGATGTCTCTCGCGCATCACGGCAGCCACTCCGACTAGCCGCTGTGGCAAATGATGTGACGAACCACGGGGGGGACTACAATGATTACAATGAGGAAAAGGGCTACGCAACGCGTTAAAGCCAAAAGATCCGTTAGACGGTTACGTCGTCAGCGGCGTTGACGCGAGTCTCTCTCGCGTCCGTTTCTCTTTGTCTCTTCTGCCTCGGCTTTTGAACCGCGCGAGATCCTTTATGTGTCGCGCGGACGCAAGACGTGAAACGCGAACGATTTTACGAGATCCATCAAGGCACACTCTTTCTCCGTCTGTCTTTTTCACCGTCGGTGCTCATATCCATTGCTAATTGCACGACGCTTTTGTGTACAGTCGACCGCGCCGTACGCGGCGCTTTCCTTTCAGTCTCGTTAGTCCGACAAATTGCCGAAACAAACGTATGCGTATCGATCCGTGAACGTTCGTTTTATTTGCGCAGGTAAATTAATGCTCGTTGCTCTCGCGAGTTGCTCATTAATGGTGAAATTATTCACTCGCTCGCCTATAACTCTAACGCGCAACGAATTGCTAACGAGACAGAGAGAAAACGTGTTTGAGATAGACGGATAGATAGATAAAGGTATTTATTGCCGTCCAGGGCGAGTCCTCTAAGAGCATTGAAACGGAGGAAAAGTATTAACAAGTGTGCAATTAACGAAAATAGTACGACAAAAACAAATCGAATTAATACACAAAAATATGAAAAAGAAATTATATAGAGACGAAAAAGATGGGGCAGCGAGGAACGGATGCGAATGAAGACAAAAAAAAGCCGCAATTATATCTATTTGAGAGAGAGAGAGAGAGAGAATATACAAAAAGATTCAGAGTGTGTTAATTATACGGTTTGATCTTCTGCGTATCTTAATGTTTCTTTTTAAAATTGCGATTCATATCGTTGTACCATCGTAAAAGCGCTCGTCCTTTTTTACTCGCTCTCTAAAACTGCGTGTACCGTTTTGCTCAACTCTATAATGCCCGTTTCTACCAATGTGGATTAACTTTAACCTCGGTTCAACTAACTCTGGTCGTCTCTTTCTAATTCTTAGAGCTAGAAAAGAGTCAGTCGAATCGAGATTAAAATCGAACTACATATAAATGTAGCATAAATCTTTCTCTCCCCCTGTCCCTCATTACAAGAATAACGTAATTGTTACATTGTTCGTATAAATGGCCAATGTCGCGAATGTTCAAATACTTTGCGGTTGAAGCGTGGAAACTCATTCTCCCGCCCACAATTGTGCGGTTTACCGTGACGAAAGAATGACAGAAAGAAGTATGATAAAATTTCCGAATAGCGGGAAACAGAGTTTCCATTGTGCGTTAAATTGAATCCACTGGAAAACAATCGGATCTCTACGGAATGAAACGAATAAACTCGAGCAAGGGTTTCACACATTTCGCACACTGGGGAAAAAAAATGTCTGATTAAAGAAGACATTGGACGAGCCAGAAGATTTGGATTATATCAATTCTACTTATCTTAATTGGGGACCTCTAGTAGATATAAGTTAGAAAATTCAGATTCGTCCATTTCCAATCAGACATTTCCAACGAATCCCCAGCCAGGCATTTTTCTCAATCGCACAGAGAAAATACCCGTGAGATTCAGTAGCAATACGACACGTTACAATTTCGAAATCGATCGTGTTTAATCAGCATTCTTCATCGCGCTATCTCGCGCGTGTGTATCCGCTCGAGACGACAGACATTCCTCTCTTCTTTTTACACGGTCCGTGCCGCGTTCTCGCTTCCGTTACACTGAGACGCGCATCCGTCGCAGGTACATATATTCAGCAACGCGAGATACATATTCTAATGAAGCGTAATGTCTAACATCTGATGCTCGAAGCGTGCGGTGTGCCCGCTCGCACCCGCGAGCGAGCGAGCGAGCGAGCGAGCGGGCGCAGTTTGATACGGCCTTGCTAATGCAACGAGATAACGGCTCGTATGGTCGGTTTGTACCGAATGACCCAATTTCACCAGTGTCGTATGGCATACGTGCGATAACTGTTGCGGCACAAGCACCGACGCGCGGACAAGATCGAGCACGTGAAAGGAAAATACGTAGGTAGCCAGGCAGATAAGCGGTCAGCTCGCCATGGACCGATGCACGGACATTCAGGAAGACGAACAAATAAACGCGCCGCCGCCTCTCCCAACTATCTACCTCCTCCTCGCCTCACCTAATTCCTATACATTACGTCTGTCGATGTAAATGTTTCGGGCGACGGGAAAAATCGCGGGCTGCCGACCTGCTTGACCGCGAAGGAAAGATCGCGAGATTACAGTAGTTTCGCGAAAGGTTCTCCTGATGTTGAAAGAAAAAAAAAAAAAAGAAATTTTCGCGAGGACGGAAAGCGACCTCGGGGGGAGAGGGGGGGGGGGAGGGAGCTCGTCGAAAGGGGGGCACGCATGAATGAGGAAAGCCCCGCTGTATAATTGGAAAATATATCTCGTTTACATACGTTTCACGTACAACGGAAATTCTACGCGATTTCGCCGATCTACGCAGCTGTAGATCGCGGGGGCATTCTGGCCGCAACCAGAGAATTTCCATCTCTTCGAGTCGAACTTGACATGTAGCAATTACGTCGGTCGTTCTTCTTATTTGCATAATTTCGCACGGTACAGACGTCATTTTTCTCTCATTGTCGCACAAACGAGAAATTATGTTTCCCGTGTTATTAACTTTTCGCATTATCGCATTCGAAAAAAAGAGTGCATTTCGCTTAGCTGTGTATCACGAATATGGAGATTACGATAAAATGCGAGTAAACGACGGAAAATTATAGAGAGGAAAGATGTAACGTTGATAAAAGACGGGCTGGATTGCGAGCTTCGTACGCGACGAAATGGCGTGTACTCGAGTTCAACGTGAACTTTAGCCGCGCTCAGAAAAATCTAATTACCGTTGCGAGAGCGAGAGCTCTATCCTGTTAAGGTCGTCCCAGAAGCAAACATTCGGAACTGTATAAAGGGAAAATGCGTTACGTTCTATAATACATTATCCCATCCGTATCATGTAATATCTCGGCAAACCGCAGAGATACGAGGTCTATAATCCTTTCCCTCATTCGCGATATTGACGCGGAAAAGCGAAAGCGGCGATTTTTCGAGGGAAAACGGGAAGGGAGGAAAAAAAAAAGGGAAAAAGGAATCGATGCAAACGCAAGAAAGTAAACGCAAAAGTGAAGACGACGCGCGTTGAGCTACTTTTCGAAAAATATCTCTTCCCCGTTTCTTGAAAGTCCACTTTAGACAGTGCCTATAATTCATATTGGAATTCAGGGCAGAATTCTGCTAATAATTTTACCTGGTGTATAATATAAAAAAAATATTTAATTAGAACGCGCATAAATATTTATATATATATATATATAT